TCATGAAGAAAAAAAAAAAAAAAAAAAAAATCAAGAATATGAAAAAAGAATTAAAAATAGAAAATAATAAATAATATAAAAATTAATGAATTTTGAGATAAATAAAAAAAAAAAAAAAAATTTATAGAATATATTTTTAATGAATAACTTACTATTAAAATAATATAGAAATAAAATGAATATATTTCATGTAATATTTTAATATTTATAAAACATTTTAATATGTATGCAAATAACAATCATTTATATATATATATATATATATAATGAACTTTTAAAAATATATTTTTTTAATAATAGTTATGTATGTAATCTATTTTTATTAATATTTTATAATTAAATTTTTTTAATTTTTAAAATTAATACAAAAATTAATGGAAATGAAAAATACAAAATTTGTATGTATAGAACATATAAAATATACTTATATAGGTAAAGAAATTATTTTATAAAAATTAGTCATAATTTAAAATAAATATATATACATATATATATTTTATATATATATATATATATATATATTTTTACATAAACTGAGTAGACGAAATATTTTTAATAAATATTACTTATGGTCAATCAAAACTATGAGAAGATATTTTAAACATTTCTCCTCCAATGTGTTCATTAAATCTTAATTTGTAAATAATACCATTAGAACATATAACAATAATACAATTTTGATCATTAACAAAGGCACATATTGATGAAATTTTTTTTCCTGGTAGTTTATAATGAGCGAAACTCCATTCACTATTTAAATATGGATGACAAGGTAATAAACATTTTAATGAAGACTTTTTATTTTTAGCTTCTTTATCATAATGAAGTACAGCTGGAGATGACATGTTTTTTCCTTTACATATAATATCCACTTTTCTTAAAGGTCTTTTTTTTTTATAAATAGAAAATACGTGAACTGTGTTCCTACTAGAAGTTAAACAAAGCCAATTATTATCTTCACTAATATTTAACGAAAGAATTTTAGCGTTTTTTGTTCCTCTTCTAAATTCATTTAATAATGTTCCATCAAATGTGTTAAATAATCTTATAATTGTTCCCTTTATAGATGAAGTAACTAATAGTTTTCCATCATTGCTTAAATTTATGCAACCAATAGAATTATCATGTGCATATATGCTTAAATTTGTCTTAAAATTAATATATGGTAATTCTTCATGAATGTTATCACTTGAATTAATTTCAAATATATGAATATTTACTCTACCTTTAATAGGAGATAAATATGCAATAATTATATTTTTATCAATATTTGACAAACAACATAATCCTGAAACATTTTTTGATGTATTTAATGTTTCTAATAATATAATATCTTTTAATCTGTATATACATAACTTATATTCTAATATTACAACAATTATTTCTCTTAATAATCTAACACCAATAATATTAGACGAAAATGTTAATTTTGCTATTTCTCTCATTTGTCTATCATCCCATATAATTAAAACATTTTTAGCCCATTTTCCTTTTTTATCATTTTTATTTCCAGTTATAGCTAAAATGTTACATCTATATAACATTTCAGCTAAATATAAACCATTTTTGTTTCTATCAGTTAAATCTAAAAATAAATAAATAAATATATATATATAATATTAAAATATTATGTAAATTTTAAGTTTTAATCTTATCATAATTATTATTATTATTATTATTATATATATATATATTGGTAATAATACAAAAAATTGTAAAATTTTGTTTTCTAAATTACCTCTACTGTATGTTTGTGTAAATGGATTAGTGTTATAAATTTTAAATCCTTTCTCATTAGCCATGCACAAACACCCATAATCTTGATTAAATGATATATATCTATTGTTATCTAGTCTTAAAGATACCATTTTTGTTTTTTTTTTTTTTTGTTGACAATTTTAAATAAAAAAAACAATCAAATCAAAAAGAAAAGAAAAAAAAAAAAAAAAAAAAAGTGGATAATAAAAAAGAATATATATATACATATATATATATATAATTTTAAAATAAATTCTTAATTTTTAGGATTAAGGTAGTTATATAACAAACGTATAAACTTATTTTAGTTTTCCTATAAAAGACTTATTTTCATTTTTTTTTTTTTTCTGCATCATTTAAAAATATAATCTAAAAGAATCTTAAAAAGAATATATAAGTAAATTATTATTAATTTAAATAAAATAAAAAAAAAAAAAAAAAAAATTAATAAAATCTATGAAATGATATTAATACTTAAGGGCACGTTGTAGTACATTCTTTTTTTGTAACTTTTAAATTTTTGTACAAACATAGATAAAGTATAATAATTTACATTAAAAAACTAATTTAAAAACTTATTTAAAAAAAAAAAAAGTTTAATATATTTATATTTATACTATTCTGAAGAAATTAAAAAAAAAAAAAAAAGTAATAAAAAATTATAGAATATTAAATATTATAAAAATAGAAAAAAAATAAAATAATTTAAACTAATTTAAACTATAATTCATTAAAATAAAAATATATTACGTAAAATTAAAACTTAGTTGAATTAATATATTATTTTAAATAAACTAAATTAAAAATGGTTTAGAATATACTTGGTCAGTTCTTAATAATTTTAAAAGAATAAATTTATATTAATTTTGTAAAAAATAAAAATATATATAATTCCCATATATGAAAAAGTTTAATAATATGACATACGAGTTTTTAATATATTTTTTTTTTTTACTTTCTATTAGAAAAAATAAAATTTACAAATAAAATAAAATTTTAGATATATTAAAATTCAATATATATGTAAAAAAAAAAAAAAAAAAAAAAAAAAAAAACAACATAAAATTAGATACTTTTTTAATAGAATTAGCTCTTCATATATTTTTGATTAATTAGGAAAAAATTTAACAGAAGAGATCAATAAAAAAAAAAAAAAAAAAACAAAAAAAAAGGAAATTATAGAAAATTATATTTTGTTAAAATTTTAGAAATATATATATATTTTTAATTTTTTTCTGTTTATTTTCTCTCATATATTTATTTTATTCCTTTTATATTTATTAAAAGTTCATTAAAATAATAAAAAATTATGAGTTACTATATGAATTTTTTTTTTTTTAAATTCTTATAATTTTTTCTTTATTTTCTATATAATATTTTGTTATTATTTTATAACAATTATTATTACATTAATTATTCTCATCCTCATATAAAAACTTGAATATTTTATTTGTATATTTTTTTATAATAAATATGAGTATATTATCTCTTTTTCATATATCTTCTCCGTTTTTACGAACTAACTGCTTAGAAAAAAAAGAAATTTATGAAAGTAGAAATGAAAAAAAAGAAAAATTATATATATGAGACGTTAATGATTCTATCAAAATTTCATATATATATGTAACATTTTAAAATAAAAAATTTTATTCTTTTTTAATGTTATTTTAATAGATTTTATTTGCTCTGTTTGCTTAGATTTATGCGATACCCCAGTAATTACATTATGTAATCATATATGGTTAGTTTATTAATTATATGTTTTATTTTTTTTCTTTTTCTTCTTTTATAATTTATATAATTTTTTTTTACTCTTTTAAATATATAGTTGTTATAAATGTATGTATTATTCTCTTCTTCATAAAAGAAACTGTCCAATATGCAAACAGATAATTAGAAATAATAATTTAAAAAAAATTTCAGGTAAAATTACATACCTTTTTTACAATTAAAAAAGTCTCCTTTTCTATATATTTTATTAATTTATAAAGTATATTAATATTATTTTTTTTTTTAATGTTTTATAGTATTACTTGAAGTTTTACTATTAACATTTATTTTTAATTTTTTTTTTTTTGTTTCATTTATTTATAATTGTAAAAAGTTTTCATATATATAAAATATCATTTATTAATATAGGGAAAAGAAAAAAGGAATATGAAGAATTAAGAATAAAATGTTATTTGTGTGAAAAAAAAATGAAAATTAAAAATCATAAAAAACATTTAAATGAATGTGAATATAGAAAATGTAAAAATTATATTTTAGGGTGTGAATACTATGATAAAAAAGATAAAATTAAATTACACGAAGAGTTATGTGAACATAGATTAATAAGTTGCTCTAGTTGTTCTAATTTATTTTATTTTAAAAATAGAGTTTTCATGTTAACATTAAAAGAAAAATCTGAACTAAATATGCGTGGTTCATACACGTACTATTCTTTTTACTATAATTTATTACTTAATACTAATTTTAATTTTAAGAATTATAAAACAAATATTAATAATGATTATCATTATAATAATTATATATCTAGAACAATAAATAATATTAGAAGTTCTCAGTATTCTTTTGATCAGATATATGCAAATTATAACAATAATTATAATAGAGATACTACTACTACTACTACTAATAATAATAATAATAATAATAATAATCCAAATCAAATTGTTTATAATGATAATGATAACTTCTATCATAATAAGGAACATTTTACAAATAATAATAATAATAATAATGATCTTTCATTTAATAATAATATTAATGATAATGAAAAGAAGGTCAATGTAATTAGTAATCATTTAACAAATATTCCCTCATCAAAAATAAATGAATTAAATAAAAATTATGTAGAAAATAATTCCTTTTGTAAGTTAAATGATAATGGTAAAAATCACTTAAATAATACTGCTAATAATAGAAAAAACAGTAATCACCAAAAAACAAATGAACAAAATAAAGACAAGAAAAATTGTAATAATGGAGAATCAATAAAATGTAATAAATTTAATGATAGAAATGATGATACAAGTTCTAGTGAAAATGATAATTCAAGTAGTGAAGAATATTTAAATATATTACCTCTAAGAAAAAAATATAATTTTAAAGAGAAAAATAGTAAAGATACAATTGTAATAATAGAAGAGTTATTTCAATTTGACAATATTGATATGAGTAATATTTATTTAGAAAATAAAGAATTATTTTTATGTAACAAAACTTGTTTTACTAATACAATTAAGAAACTTAGACAAGAATTAGAAAGAGCTTTATTACTATTATATTTTTGTTGTTGTATAGGTATGCCTATTATGTTTACACTTGGTGGTATTAGCTATGTTATAACAAAAGGATTATTCAAATTCTCTTTTTTAATAACTAATACCTTTATAAATTTATCTCATAAACTTATTTTTAAAATATTTAATATTTAAAAATCAAATAAAAAAAAAAATTTTTTTTTTGTTAAAAAACTTTTATTTTTTTTTTTTTTTAAAATTTGAAATATATATAATAAACATTTTTTTCAAAAAAAAAACAAAGAAAAAAGTGTTATACATTTGCTCAAAAATTAAAATACCTTGTATTTTATTATTTTACAATTTTTTTTAACAATGTAAAAATATATGTTTTAATTTTTAACTAAATTAAAATAAAAATTATAAATGATTATTTAAAAATTATGTAATAATATTAAAAATATAATTAATAAAATACATATAAATCAATGAATTTTTAATATTTTTCTTTTTTAAAAATACTGTGTATTATTTTTTACTATATAACAGATATTTATATATGTGAATTTTACATTTACGTGGTTGTATGCTTAAAAATATAATTTCTTCTTTTTCCTTTTCTTTTTCTTTTTCTTTTTCCTTTTGTATCTTAATATTTTATTAAAATCCTTTAATTTGAATTCATCAGCTCATCATTTTTATATCACCTTTATAATAATTTATATTAATTAATTCAAAACATTTAGATTTTTGTAATGATTTTAAGTATCTATTTTTATGCCTAGGTATATAACTGTTATAGATTTCAAAAAAATGTTGATAATTATTAATTTTACATATATCTGAATAATCTATATATTTAATTAAACTATTTAAAAGAAAATTTGATATATATGCATACCTATGATTCATAACAAAAAATGTAATGTATTCCATTAATTTATTTAGATATAAGAAATATGAATGTTCACTTTTTTCTTTTATTTTTTTTAAAAATAAAACAAAATTATTATCATCATCTAATTGATTTATAAATATATTACTTTTTTTATCTTCATTTTCTTCTTTTATTTTTTCTTTTTGAGTATTTTCCTCTTTTTTCAAATCTTTCGATTCGTTTTTGCTTGATAATTTTGATAACTCATTATAAACATAATTTTCTAAAATATCAGAATTTTCTATATAATTCTGAATATTACTAACAAAATTATCATCATTTAAATTTTTGTCATTATTTTCATTCCATATTACATTACTTGTTTGTTTTTCACTATTCTTACTTTCAGGATTTATTAATGATTGATTAAGAGAATATATACTTTCATCATTTTTCTCCTTTTTCACAATATTTTTTTCGTTTATTTTCTTTATACCATATTCATATTCAAATTTTTTTAGTATATTTAAAATTGAAAAAGTGTAATAATTTAAATAATTTTCTATGATACTTTTAAATTTAAACTTTTTATCTAATTTTAAACAAATCAATAAAGATTCATTTATCTTTTTTTCTTTTAATAAATTTTCTAAACAATTCTCATAAAAAATATTCTTTCTTTTTTCATATATGTTTTCTGTAACTATTTCTTCACTTGTGTTTTTAAAAAATATCAATTCTCCATTGATGGAGGCAGATACTATACTATTATCATAATTTTTTAAACAAAATATTTTATCTTTATGATAATTTGTTGTCAATAATTTTTCACAATTCTTAATATTTATTATGCTAATATTACCATTACTGTATCCATTTATCATACAGTTATCATTTAAAATTAATATTCTCGTTATATTAAAATCAAAACTTTGTATACTTTTTACACATGTATAATTACTAAGATTCCACACTCTTATACAATCATATGAGTTGCTGTATAAAATATTTTCATTTTTTGAAAAAAAAATATTTTGAACAGATTTTTTATGACCATCTAAAGTTTTTATTAATTTTAAATTTTTAGTTTCAAATAATTTTATAGTTTTATCTTTACTACATGTAGCAATAACCTAAAAAAAAAAAATTAAAGAAGTTAATATATGATAATTGTTATTGTTTATTGATATTAAATATATAATAAAATAAATACAAGATAATTAAATATTCTAATATATATAAACATATATAAAAACAAATTTATAACTGAAATACATAGGTATATTTACATCTTAATGTTTCTTTTTTTTTTTTTTTTTTTTTTTTTTATTAAGAATATATATATATATATGTGAAATAATTATATGTTAATTAAAAAAGATAATAACTTTACAGTATCCCTTTAATTAAATATATATGTAATAAAAAAAAAAAAAAATGTTTATATATATATGCTTGAGTTCATTTACTTTAGAATTGGGAGATAAAGCTACATCATTAATTAAAAGTTTATGTGGATATATAGTCAAACTACTCTGAATAATTTGTTTTTTTTCATTAAAATTTTCATCGAATTTTCTTTTTTTTTTATTATTTTTAATATTATCTAATTCAATTGTAAATTTCCATAACTTTAAACTATTATCTTCACATACACTTACAAGTACTATAAGAGGAAACTTTTTTAAGTTGACATCAATTGAATTAATAGGGTATAAATTATCTTTTAATATATATAAACACTCATTACTTTTTAAGTTCCATACAAAAATATTTTTATCAGTTGATGCACTAAATAAAAGATTATTTTTTTCATTTAACTTAATACATGACACAACATCTTCATGACCAATCAATAATGTTTGACTAATTATATTTTCAAATTTTAATATTCTGATTATATTATCACCTATTAAAGCTACAGCATTTTTTTTTTTATTTTTATAATCATATTTCTTATCTATTATTTCCTCATTTTCGCTTTTGTAATTTTCATCTAATGCTTCATTATAGGAAGGATCAAAAAATAAAATTTCAAACATACCTTCAAGTTTACATATATAATTATTGATCAATTTGAAGTTTCTTATATCATATATTAATATAGAACTATCCACCCTAAATATATATAGTTCATTTTTTAAAAGAAAAAATTTTTTTATGTTACTTTCATTAATTAACATTTTATTTTCTTTAAATTTATATATTATATCTCCTTTTAATGGATTATAAAAAAGTAAGTTTCCTTTATCATCATGAGTTAATATTAGCCATTTTATATTTTCATCATTTATTGTTATTTTGCTTTTTTTATTTTTAAAAATACTGGATGGTATTATTATTGCACTGTTTATATCACTACTTAAATAAATTTGTTTTATTGGATTAAATGTAATTAAATTACTATTTTTATTTTTTTTATTTTTTTTGTTATTTTTATTTTTTTTCGTTAAATTTTCAATTTCTTCTTCATTTGAATTTAACATATTAAGATTCCAAATATTCATAATTTTATCATTACCAATACTTATAAAACCAATCAATTTTTCATCTTCCTCATTTTTAATATCTTCAACTTCACCATTTTTAACATTTTCATCATTTTTTTTCTCTTTAATGGAATCATTTTGAATAGCTAAAAAGAGAAAATCATTTATTCCACTCATATGATCTTCACACGAGATAATTTTTTCACCTTTAACTGAATCATATATAAAAATATTTTTTGTTATATCTGAACTGAGAATAAAATTTTTATACATTTTTAAACTTGTAATTCTACTATTATGTATTTTATAAGATATTTTTAATTTATATGTATCTAAATTATATACATTTATTAAACCATTATTATAACCAACAACTAATTTTTTATATTCTACTTCATTAAAATGAAAACATGATATAACAATATTCAAAGATTTCCATATTTTCACTTTTTTTAAATATACCCAATTATAACTATAAGAATATAAATGTTTTTCTTCATTTTCTTTATGATCATATAAATAAATATCCTTTTCTTCTCTTTCTATTTCTTTATTCTCATTTTTATAATCTTCTTGTATTTCATCATTTAGCATTAAAACATAATGGTGTATGTTATTATCATCAGTGGATAAAAATATATTTTTATTAGAATAATAAAACAGTCTTATGCTACTAAATAAAGATATACAATACTTGTTTAAATATTTTTTATGATAAAACTCTTTCACATCATCAATATCTACACAAGATTCTAATACACATGTTGGATACAAAATATTAAATTTAAAAATATTATAATTATTATTATTTTCTACTTTGAATGCGTATATATTACTATTACATAAACTCAAGAATAATTCATACTCTTTTGAATAAAAAACATTATCATCACCATCGTAAAAGTCAAAGAATTTCTTTTCAATTTCAATATTTGTAATTACTGACATTGTAAAAAAAAAAAAAAAATAAAAAGGGTTATAACTTAAAATAAATTAATATGTAAATATATGGTCATAATTTCTCCTTCTTTTAAACAAAAATTAGCAAATATATTTCAACTATTTTTTTTTTATTTAAAAAAAAATTGCATACTTCGTAAATTTAAGTATTTTTTCAATTTTTCATGTTTTTATGAATATAAAATATATATTTTTTTTAATTAAAAAAAAAAAAAATTTTTTATAATTTTTCTAATTAAAACTATTAAAAATTATTTAAAATTATTTAAAATTTCTCAATATCAGTTTTTATATTAGTCTATATAAATGATTTTATGTAAGATTTAATTTAAAAAATTTCATCTACATTACCCATAACTTTTATACATAAAATAAAAAAAAAAAAAAAAAAAATGGGTATAATATAATTTATGTTAAAAATTAATTTTTATTACAACATTCTTTTAATGTTTTTTTTATATATATCACTTTTAATAGTACATACTTTCTATTTTTCATTTTATGATGTTCTACATTTTTTTTTTAAGCTCAATAACTTTCAATTAAAAACAGAATAATATATATATATATATATAATAATATTCAAATAATTTCAAGTTGGAAAAAAAAATGTTAAAATTTTGTTTTAAATTGCTATTTTAATATAGAAGCATGGATTAAAATTATATAAATCAGAAAAAAAAAATAAGGCAATAATTTTATATAAACTTTTAATTTTTTTAGTCAACTTTTTTTTTTTTTTTATAAATATTTAAATGAAAATTACTGCATATTTTTAGATACATTTTATTTCTTTATTGTTTTTTTTTAAACAAAATGAATTTCTTTACGAAAATGAAGTAATATTTTTTCTTTATGATAATTAAGAATATTATATAAACTATTTGTTATAATCGTTTGAGTGACAAATTCATTAAGAGAACTAAAAATTCTGAAATGTATATACTAAATTTACATTTATTTATGAGCTCTAAAATATTAAAATATATATTAAAGAAACTGTAAGTAAAACACACGTAAAAATTAAATAATTACAGAAATAAAATTTGCATATTAAAAATATAAGAATACATATAATGTGTAGTTATATCTAATTGTACAACAGGAATCATTATAAAGTGTAAAAATATCTCTGCAAATTATTTAGTTTATGTTATTATTTAAAAAAAAAAAAAATATACATATAGAATTACTTGAAACGGCATAAGATCCCTATTGATATCAGAGAAAAATAAATTTATTACAATCATTTTAAATTAAAAATACTTAAAGTTTTTATTAATTTTTATTTTTCTTTAATAATTGTAGTGTTAAAGAATCATTTTTTATTAAATTATTTTACCATCTTTATATACATATATTCATATATACTTAAACATACAAATTTTCCTTTTGTTTTAATGAATGCAATTACCTCTATAACTATTATAACAATTATTGTTGTAATTATTCCTTCACTGTTACAATTACATATACTAATGTTAAGTAATTTTTTATTATTATTTTTTTTTTTTCATTGTTGTTTACAATTTTATTTTTATTGTAGTTTCTCGATAAAGATTATTAAAATTATAAAAAAAAATATCTATCAAAAATAATAATAATATATTATGATTTTAATTATTATCATATTTCAAGATTGTCCCTTCAGTAATTGATAATTATATTTTTTAAAACGTATAGGATTCTTCTAATTGTACATTTTTTAAATTATATAATATATATTTCAATTTTATTTTAGTAACATTTTTCTCCCTAGGAACTTTTTATATTGTTTTTAATTTAATTATTAATTTAATTATTAATTTCATTACTTAATAATACCATTAAAAACTATTTAAATTTAAGTTAATGAATATCAAAATATTGTTATTTCATTTGCATGCACTAGTATATATGTATTGTAAGATAAAAAAGTTTTACAAAATTTAAAAAAAAAATAAAAGATAAAAATAATCATAAAAAATAAAATATTTGTACTCATAAAAAAAACTTTGAATAAAAAAATGAAAATTGTTTATTATAAAAAAATTAACATGTTTACATAATTAAATATTTTTCTTGTAAATAAATATGAATTTTTTTTTTTTTTTTTTTACAATTGAAGATGCTTAGAACTGCAAATTAAAAAGAAAATGTCAAATTTTATTTAACATCCTTATTACTTTTTTAATAGTTTATTGTTACATTATTTTATGGGAACCAAAATAGTTTATTATTTTTTCTCATGAACATATTTTATTTTTATAATTTTATTAAATATATATTATATATAAATATATATATATATATATATATATGTATAAATATGCATATATATGGTTTTTGTTTCAATCCTGTATAATAGTATTTGTTTAATTTTTGTTTTAAAAATGTATTCTTATGAATGTTTTGCTATGAATTCTACATATATTGAATTTCTTAATTTAAAAAATATAATATATGATAATAAGCATACTTTATATCAGTATATATAATATCTAGATGGATTTTTTCTTATTTTTTTAAATGAAGAAATTTTATTATTTTATTTTTTATTTATTATGAGAATTGTAGAAATATAAAAAAGTTTCCAAGTTACATATGAAAGGTAATAAGAAGTGAAAATAAGAGAAAAAAAAAAATATTCATACATATATATAAGATAATTTAATTAAAAAACATGTAATAATGTGTTATTATATTTATGAATGAAATACTACACATTTTGTATTTTAAAACAAAATAAACAGTAAATAGAATTTTTAAAAATGAGATACCTGCATATTTGCGTTAATGCAATTTTTTCTTTATAGATAGTTAATTATTGAAAATAATACTACTGAATAACATATAAATGATTTATTTTTATCATATTAAGAATTTTGTTTTAATTTATTTTTTTTTTCATGTTGGTATTTCACCAATTTTAAATGAAATGTGATTAGTACTGTATTGTCTTTTTTTTTTTCCTTTTTTTTTTTTTTTTTTTTTTGCAAAAAAATTTATTAAAAATACTTAATTTTTATAATTCCTTTTTTAGATGAAAACATATAGAAAGTACTTAAAACATATAATATAATTCAATTAATGTTATATTTATTTTTATATATACCCTATGTATACATAAAATGAAGATTAAATGAAATAAGAAAATAAAAAAAGCTTATTTTATATATTTATAATAAAAAAATATACAAATATATATATATATATATATATATATTATAAGAATTGAATATAATAAGTACAGTTAAATTTTTTTTTTTTTATCCTTAAAAATAACACTATTGATAATAATGCATAATCATTGTTATATTTATTTTTATCTTATAAATTTATATTTTTATTTAATCTTTGTACTGTCATAATATCTTTTAATTAAAATTTTAATGATTTTTAACTTAATTTTAGAAAAATTCTTTATTTATATATATGTGAATATATGTATAAATTATAGAAGGTATGTTTACATAAATTTATATTTTATTTAGATGATATAATATCATTTAAAATTTACTTATGTTTTTTTTTTTTTTTTTTTTTTTTTTTTTTTTTTATAATTGTTTTAATATAATATATAAATTATATGTATATATATGTAGGAATAAATTTCATAACCTTTTCATTAAATTATGAAAAAAAATTTATATATACATAAACATAAAATAATTTATAATATTATAAAACAAAAAAAAAAAAAAAAAAAAAAAAAAAAAAAAAAAANTTTTTTTTTTTTTTTTTTTTTTTTTTTTTGTTTTATAATATTATAAATTATTTTATGTTTATGTATATATAAATTTTTTTTCATAATTTAATGAAAAGGTTATGAAATTTATTCCTACATATATATACATATAATTTATATATTATATTAAAACAATTATAAAAAAAAAAAAAAAAAAAAAAAAAGAAAAACCAAAATAAAACAATGAACAGTACAAATGAAATTAATAATGATGGAAAAATAAATTATCATCACAACTTGAGAAAAAATAGAAAACCACGCAATTATGATTTTGAATATTGTGATAAACCCTTAAATAAACCCAAATGTAGAAAAAAAAGGAAAAAAAAAAAGACACTAAAAAATATAATAGGATCTATTAATAAAAGTTTAAGTTCTCATAATATGCATAAACTTAAAAGATCATATATAAGAAAAAAGTATAAACAAAATAAATTCTCCAATAACGGTGATAAAGGAAAAGATAGAAATGATATTGTTTTAGGCAGAAGCTATTATTTATCACATAAGTCTATTAGTATTGAAAATCCATATATTAAAAGTAACAAAACAAAGAAATTTAATTTAGATAAAAATGTATATTTATTTAATTCAAACATAACCTTAAGGAATAATAATATAAAAGTAGATAGAATATGTGATTATTTAACTTTAAGAACTAATACTATATGGAAATACATGGGATCTACTGTGAAATTTAAATTACTAAACGATCAACAAGAAAAATACATTTTCTTGAAAAATATGAAAAAACATATAATATTTGAAATTATTAAAATAGCTATGTTTGCTTTACTGAAAGTTAATTTAAATGATAATAATATATATACATTAAAATTCTTAGGAATACAAAAAACATTAAAAAGAAATTACGATAATGATAACACTTTATTAAGAAATAGTTGTCAAATAAATGAAAATGGATACGATTATAATTATGATCAAAGTAATAATAAAAACAAAAAAGGTGATTGCAGGAAAAATAATTGTAAAATGAAACATTATAATAAAAAAGATTTAAGTAATTCTTCAAATGATAAAAAATATTTAAATTTTTTTATTACTAATTATGAAGATTCAAGACTAAACATAAATAAAAGATTAGAAATAAAAAATGATATATTGAACCAAGGGGTAACTGTATCAGAAATCTTAGATTTTGTAAAAGAAAAATATGAAAAATATTATGAAAGTGTTAAACAGTATATTGTGACAACATTAAATATATACTGTGCTTTAAACATCTTTAAATTAATTAGAAGAGGTAGATATGCTTTATGCAAATATGAGAATTTTAATATTTTTAAAGTAAAATATTATAGAAAATATCATAAATTTTTTTATTCTTTAAAAGGAGAAGAAGAAATTCTAATGAATATTAAAAATTACTTGAAATCTTTTTATTATGATAAAAACAGAGTTTCTCAAAAAAGTAAACACAATTCTCCGAATATGATAAATGAAATAAATAAACAAATTAAAAAAAAAAAAAGAGGGAATATTACTCAAAACAAATTAGGTATCAATAAAATAAATTTAAAGGAGAGTATATTAGATACATCTTATAATTCTGCATTTAAAAATAAAAAACATGAAAATTCTGTATATGATATTTCTATATATAAAAATAATAAAGTAAATGATATTAAAAAAAGTATATTATCTGTTAAGAAAAAGAAAAAGCAAAAAGTAAGAAATGTTATGGATATTCATACAAATATTGTAGATGAATTAAATAACAATAAAGATATAAATGAATCAGAAGCCAATATTATAAATAATAATAACTCATTAAATTCTTGTGATGATAATATAAAAAATGTTTTCATTGATTTAAACAAAATTAATATAAAATGTATTAAAGTTGTTTATGGAATGAAGCATTTTTTTTGTTCATATGATACTAAAGAAAAAAGCGATAAAAATTTTGAGATTATAAAAGTACAAAAAAAATATGACTTGTTAAGAAGAAAAAATATGGTAAATATGAACTTAAGATATAATTTCTTATATAATACCAAGAGATTATTAAATAGTTATTACTATGCTAATGATAATTATAATTTAACAAACACTAAAAATTTTTTTATAAGAAACAATAATATAAAAATAAGTAATGAAGAGGAAAAAAAGGCACCTCAGTATGGAAAACAAAAAAAACAAAATAATGAAGATGATTCATTAATACATGAAAAATATAATTATGTTAATTTTAATTTAAGTTATAAAACCTTGAGAAAAAAAATGATTTGTTTGCGACATTATACGAATAATAGCAAAAAAGATGAAAAGTGCTTTAAACAAAAACATGAAATAAAGATAAAAGATAAATTGCAAAACGTATCTAATGATTACTTAATGCACACATACTCAATTAATTCTAATTTTTCTAATCTCGTAAGTAATGATGGATTTTCTGTTAATTTTGAAAACCATTGTTCTCAAAAAAGTATATAAGGTTGTAAAAAATAAATAAATAATGATATATTTAAAGTAAATATATTTGTACTCGCATATATTTATTTATACGTTTTTAAAATTGTCTAAAATATTTATGTAAATGATTTTAATATTATCTATAATTTAAAAAAAAAAATTAGGATTTTTACTGTATATTTCTTTGTTTACCGCTTAATTAGAAATAGAAAAAAAAAAAAAAAAAATAAAAAAAAAAATAAAAATAAAATAATCATCTTTAATAAAATCTTAGAAAAAATAAAAATGATTTATATTTATTTTTATATATCATAAAATATGGAAACAAGAAATAAAAAGTTTAACGTTTATGTCACCCATAAAATTAGAATGATTAACAAAAAAAAAAAAAAAAAAAAAAAAAAAAAT